AGAGAGAGAGAGAGAGAGAGAGAGAGAGAGAGAGAGAGAGAGAGAGAGAGAGAGAGAGAGAGGGAGAGGGAGCGGGGGAACCGGGCAGAACGGCACGTACGTACGCACGTATGCCCGTACAGACGGTACAGGTGTACGTACGGCCCGTACGCCTAAACGACGTGTGGGCCGGGGACGGTCGTTTTTGTGCGCGCTCGAAGCGCCGCCCTGGGCCGCTGGGCCCTGGCCAGCGGGGGCCCCGCACGCCGGCCCGCTGGGTGGGCCCACGAGGCAGTTGGAAGCGCGGCCACTGTGCAAAGGGTGCCACAAAAGCATTTAGGCCCGCTGGGCGTACGGAGAGTTCATCCTTGTGAACAGAGACAGGCAGAGAGAGGCAGAGCTGAAGTTCGTTGGGTTCAAATGGATGCAAAAGGGCCAGACGATGCCAGGCCGGAATGGCAACTTCGTCATGAAGTGCAAGCTTTGTGACCAGGAATTTATCGGCAGTCAGAGCAAGTGCGCATTGCAGTACACAATCAAGAATAACTGCCCGCAAGCCATGTTGGACGTTTTTGCTGAGATCTGAAGCAGACGTGCTTACCACTTTGATCAGAGTCACTGGAAGAAGATACAGGCGTACCTTGCGGAGAGGGGGTGGGCAGACAAGAGACGACAACTTGGTCAACAACGGGGAGACTCAGGAGAGGAGGACGAAGATGACCCTGAGTGAGTGGCGGAGGAAGACGACGAACAGGCTGGAGGGGCGTGTGAGGCGCCTGAGAGTGGACGTGGTGAGGATGGTTGTCGGGTTGACGACGACAGGTCTGTGGAGGTTCCGATCGATGTTGGAGCGTGACCGTAGAGCGTGAGGACAGAGACGAGAGCGGTCGCTGGCATTGGGACGCCGAGGAAGAGGAAGACTTCTTTGCAGCCCCTGCCGGCGACAGGAGCCACGAAGAAGTTTCGTCAGTCGCGCATGGAGGACTCGTTCGATCCAAAATGGCAGCAGGACTTGGACGCGTATTTCCTGCAGTGGTTCTATATCAGCGACATCCCGTTTCACGCGGCGAGGAGGCCAGAGTACAACACGTTCAGGAGCCACCTCGCGACATGTCCCCCTCGGGTGCATCCGTCTCTGCCCAACCATCGCCTCATCTGTGGCGATGGTATTGTCCTGCAGCACAAGGATGTTGCGGAGATGCTGGCGATGCTCGAGAGAGATGTGGCGGCGACAGGAGCGACCATCCTCACGGACGGTCGCAAATCCATCACTGTTCATCAGATAGTCAACTTTTTGGCAGTCGGATCTTCAGGGGCGTACCTGTTGAGGACAGTGCAGAGGGACGGGGCTGAGCAGGACACGGTGAGTGTGGTTGTGAGGCGGTGGAAGAAGGTATTCGATGACTTCGGCGTCGAAAATGTCAATGCTATTCGTACGGACTCTGCGGGGACATACGTCGCGATTGCGAAGCTCCTTACGTAGGACAAGGATCTTCGATACAGTCGCATCACTTGGCTTCTATGTGCGGTGCATGTTTGCAACCTGATGTTGTCAGACATTGGCAAGAACGGGCGAGATGGTGTCGTTGGACACAGGGAGGACACGATCATCAGAGCGAGGGCGGTCGTGCTATTCATTCGGTCACACGGGGCTGCCCTCACCCTTTTCAGGCGATTCTCCACGCGTCACCCTGCCAAAGGGCAGACAGCGCCGTCGTCAGCTTCAAGCGGCACCTCTGGCCGAGGTTGGGAGCTCATCTACCCGGTGCAGACCAGATTCGCCACACACTACCTGATGTTAGAGCGGTTGTTGGAGCGACGTCACGCGCTTGAGGATATGATGATTAGCGACGAGTGGTTGCGACAGCCGTGGAGGCGGAGCTTGTGGCTTCAGCTGCCGTGGGTGCGGCAACAGGTCAGATTCGCTGCGTTTTGGGACGACGTCGAGGACATTGTGGAGTTGATGACACCTGTGATGCAGTTGCTGCGTAGACTCGATCGTGGGGCGCGCGTGATGTCACGCTTGTGGTCATGGTCGGAGAGGGTCATCCAGAGGGTTGCTCAGGCGCCTTCCTGACACACCAGTCGTGCAGAGTTGGACGCCCTTGTTAGACGTTTGCAGACGCGGAGGAGGCATATGTTGGAGCCTGCTCATTGCATGGCCCACCTCCTCAACCCGCGCCACAGGAGTATTGCTTACTTTGAGGGGGCACAAAGGACAAATCAGGAGAGGGAGTTGGCAGAGGAGGCCGACATTTACAGGCAGCTGTATCAGGATTTGAGGACAACTTTGAGGGAGTTCCACAATCGAGAGGGCAATTGTGCGTATGGCGGTCGCGACGGGGATCGAGATCCGGAGAGTTGCAGGGGGGAGGAGACATCGGCGGTTGCTAAGTGGTGGGTGCAGTGGGGGGACGGTGTTCCTTTGTTGCAGAGTATCGTTGTTCGCCTGATGCTCACGTGGACATGTGCCTCTCCAGGACCTGCGAAGAGGAACTGGAATGTCCACCCGCTCGTTCAGGTGAAGCGGCGAAAAAAGCTTGGTTTTACCAAGCTCACTCGTTTGGTGGAGATATCCACCAATTTGAGACTGCTTCGATGCCACACGAGGGGTGTTGGGTACGTCCTCCCATGGGAGGACGAGGACATCGTCACGCATGAGAAGAGACCGGAGCCCCGTGACTCGAGAGTCCGCCCCGCGGACAAGGTCTCTGATGAGCAGCTGGACAGGAAGGTGCGGAAGGGGCGAAAGGATTCCCTCACTCGACAGCCTGCGAGCGTGGAGAGATACTTTGGCAGCCAAGCGACTATTCTTCTGCCACATGAGAAGGAGTCGGTGTACGATCCCGAGCCCAACCCTCTCGCGCAGGATGAGATTGAGGAGGAGTCATGGTCAGATCTTGATGACCTGGATGTGGAGTCGGGCCGATCATCCGACGATGATGTCCCCCTGACACGGATGCGACGTGAGATGCGAGAGTCGACCTCGACCCGTCCTCGCCTTTCGCCTCGAATGCGAGATAGTGCTGCGCCTGGACCTGCGGCGGTTGGCAGGCCAGGTCGTGCAGATGCACAGTGTCAGGGCCCGTCCATTCGACAACGACAACACGCATCCATCGACTCGGACAGTGACGATGATGGCAGAGGGTATGAGGGCAGCAACGAGTTTGACGAGGATATGGAATTCAGGAGGGGTGCGGACGATGCCACACTAGGAGGTGATGAGGGTCCTCGAGACATTGCTGCCGAGGGGCAAGAGGGTCAGCGACGTTCTGTGAGATTGGTGGAGGAGAGAGCTCGTGGTGCGAGGGGGTCAGCCAGGGGAGGAGGAGACGGAGGATTGGGGGGTCAGATTCCACTTTCACCTCAAAGAGGGAGATCCGAGGCTGCCCACCGCCATTCAGCCTCTGCGGAGGACTTAGCCACCACGACCGTTTCGTTGACCGATTTCTTGGGCATGTCCATGGGACCTCCTCCGACCACCGTTGATGCTGGACAGACCTCAGTTCCCGCGGACGAGACACCTATCAGCCAGGTTGTACGAGGATTAGATATTGACGGAGGTGTCTCGAGCAGTTTGTTGATGGAGGCGGCTCAGGGGATGGAGGTTACGCCCATCCGGCCCGTGCGGAGCACAGGGATGTTGTCCGTTTTCCATCCATGCAGGAGATGGACGTCGAGACGGATGTGGACGGGAGGGACCGAGAGGAGAGACAGCGAGCGTTGGCGCTTGCTCAGTCCTGCCCTGTGACACAGGATATCAGAACGAGCTTGGATGCTGCTCGCTCCCTTGAGACAGGAGTCGCACACGTCGCCACAACGGACCTTCGTGAGACGTGCGGTGCGAGGGAGCGGACACATGCTGTCGAGGACGTTCGGGAGGGGGAGGACCCCCGACCTGCGCAAGGTGATGGCGGAGTTTGCGGACCGGGACTTGACCCCGTTCGCGGCGAGGATGATGATGCGGAGGGAGGTGGTGATCGGGCTATCGGTGGAGGGGATGCACCTCACGGAGGATCGGATGCGGTCGGTTAGCATGATGCATGCGAGAAGGACAGACAAACCACCGGTGGAGGGCATCCGGCAGATGCAGGAGGAGGTAGTGAGTCTGCTGCAGAAATGCAGCGGTGTGAAGTTGAGGGAACTAGCGAGCAGCCAGCCGATTCAGCGGTCGCTGCCCGCCCTAACGTGCTTGTGGAGGGTATTAGTGTGTTGGCCTTAGGTGGCGCCATGTAAGCTGCAGTTTTCGAGTGCGATGGGAGAGAGGATCCTCTGGCGGCAGATCAGCGGGGCCGGATGGAGGATGCCAGCAGGAGAGCTTAGGGAGACCCCCCACCATATGCACCGTGTAGCCCGTTTGTGCGCTCTTCCATGACAGGCGACACCCCCCCCCCCCGTGGGATCCTGTGGAGCAGATGGAGAGCATCAGGGCCGCATGTGTGGCAATACGAGGTCGTGGGATAGTGGGCATGGCGGATCAGAGGGTCGTTCGTCAGGACCAGAGACACGACAGTTGGAGGGTAGAGGTTTAGAGAGTCTTTCTTCGCAGTCGCGGATGAAGACTCGACCTCATGGATTAGGCTCTGTGAGGAAGGTCACTCAGGCGATGCGAGAGACCTCCACCGTTGCTCCGAGGGGGAGAGATTGTGGTGGATACAGCAGGTTGGGGCCGGGGCGAGATTGGTGGATCACGTTTGGACAGTACTAGGGCCGGTCCTTCGACATAGCGCAACGACCGCGTGACAAGTGCGTCGACACAACGGACGGGGACCGGTGGTGATGGGGCATGTGCGCTGACCCCTTCGACGGCTGTAGATCCTCCTCCGACCCACCTGCCGGATAGAGGAACGGCGGGCCGCATCTTAGAGGAGGATGTTAGGGGGACAGGAAACCACGCCCTGCTGCTTTTGCACATGGCCCACAATCCTCGGGGACTGACGATTTGGAGATGCCTTTGGGACAGTGGAAGAGGCAGGATGTCCATCGCATTCTGCTCAGAGACATGGTAAGGGCCAAGGTGGACGAGAGAGAGAGAGAGAGAGAGAGAGAGAGAGAGAGAGAGAGAGAGAGAGAGAGAGAGAGAGAGAGAGAGAGAGAG